GAGAACATCTGCGCCATCACTACAATTTGAATATTCCTGAGATATATTATATTTTCAATTAATCAACTGCCCTAATATAATTCATATCTGACAATGTTTATATCCGGTTCTATTTATTCTTATCTGGTGTCATATACGTCAATTTCGTCACTTAGTGCAATCAGTGACGATATTATGGACAGAATTAGTTCAGATTATCAAGATTTCATAAAAATAAAACTGAGCCATGTGATATCAATGATCAAATTAGCAAATTTAGAATTGTTTGCTGCATGAGGAATATGTTCCATCATTTACAGCGATTTCCTAGCTCATTAACTGTTCCGAAAAGGTTCAGCTAGAATAAGTAAACCGAAAATTCCGTTTTGTTCAAACCAATAAGCGGCGCGAAGCGGCACTTTGTCCACGTGGTTCTTGTGCTTCCTCATGCATGAAAGCCTTCTGAGAAATTAAGACCGCATACTGTCTACAAAAATATAAGGCTAAATTCCTATGATATATGTATTTATTACATTTTACCAGTGAAACATCATGAGTTATCCGTTTGATAAAATCTTTTAAATGTGACTGTTTTTTTTTCTCCATTTTTGCGACGTACATTATAGTACTCACATAACAACACTATTGATATCTTTTTGTTTGGAAATATCATAGCAGTAACGGCGAAATTACATTGAGAACCCGATTCAAAATGGCACTTTGCATTGTTGTCAAGCGTGACGTCATTAATACATGACGTCAAATATTACGCTACAAATTCCCACACTTTTCTGATGAACATGAAGTAATATTTGCGTTGCGTTACTTTAAAAGTTTTGATAAAAGGAAAAAGTAATGTTTTTTTCTGCTGTTTTGAACAATTATGTAATACCCACCAGAAAACTAGCCTTATGACTCAGAGAGGCACACTATTGTGCGCAACAAGAGGTCATCATAAAGTACAATATAACAATGATATGGTTGACCGTAAAGCACTCATCGTACTCTACTAGAGTACAATAATATAGTGGAAACGATTACACTCCTCATACAATGATAAACACACTATTACACTCCTCATACAATGATAAACACACTATTACACTGTTCATACGTAATATCATACCTTGTTATAATAGACAATATAACCCACTGCTCATACAATGACACTCATCATACACTGTGATATACATTATTACACTCATTTTACAATACTATTACGATTGTATAATACATAGCATTACATTCACCCATACTGTGCGTTTGCATCCATCTCACAGTACAATCCTACAATAATATTATTACAATATTACACATGTATTACTCGCACTCCATGATACATGTATTATAGATAGTATACCACACCATACAGTGCAATCATACCATGGCATAATAGTCACCATCATACTCACCATACCATATAATATTACAAAGGTATAATATACAGTGTTACACTCCCATCATACAATACTGTAATAGACAGATATAAATACCTCCAATCAGGCACATAACAAACAAACCATGATAAACAAGCTGTAAACACACTCATTATACATGTACAATATAATTATGTTAGGTTTAACGAGATGATCAGTAATATATATATATGTATACAAAAGTTTACAGTTTGATGTGTGAAATTCACATATTAATTTTTAATTGTCTTTCTATTAATTGTATGAACAGCGATATATTTGATAATATTCTAACATTGCATATTGATATTAATACTTTCATTTTATGAACAGATGGATTAGAGGTATACTAAACAGGTAATTATTTTCTGCGGATTTGACTTACATAAGCATTTGAACATAAAAACAAATAATGATACTCGCTTCCAACTCCAGTAAAACAAAGCGGACAGATTTTGTCTTCACGTGGTGTTCTAGTGCATCGCCCAGCCTCTATTGGCAGAGATATTTTGCTGGTTCTGAACGTACAGATAGTTATTCTATCTTTTTGTTTGACCATAGTTAAGTATTTTTCAAACTGAAATTTATGTTTAAATATTGCATATGTTTGACCCCGGGAAGAAGTTTCAATATCAGTATACCATTGTTGTATAAATTGGTCATACAGAATAGTTTTAAAACTAACTCTTAGGTAATTTTTATTCATAGTGCAAGTTTTTTGTTGTAACCATACGTAACTTAGTCCCGAGCAATTGAATAGATTCTTGATATATGAATCCATTTAAAATCAGCGAAATCATTTTCATGTAAATTCAGCATAGGCTTGCACATTATACTAGACAATTTATTTTCTCCTGTAATTAGTTTATACCAAAACATTATCATTCTAGATTTAATTTCAATATTCAGAGGGTACCTACCCGTTTCACCATATACCATTATATTTGCTGTGGAGCTACGTATGTTTAAAATTCTTTTACAAAACTGTACATGTAATTTCTCAATCATATTGGTATTTTCAAACCCCCAAATATCTGAGGAGTACAAAAGGATTGGGGCTATTAATACATCAAATAATTTTAATTGTAGGTCAATTGGTAATTTTTTTATTTTATTTTTTTATATAATGCATACATTGCTTTTTGAGCCTGTTCAACAAGGTTTTTTCTTGCTTTACAGAAACTGCCATTATAATGAAACAGCAGCTCCTCACCAAAAAGGGTAAAACGAATATTTTGTGCATTACTTTTTCTTTTTTCAAAGATAACAACTTTAGTTTTATTGAGATTAACTTTAAGTTTCCAAATCGTACAGTAAGTTTCAAATTCACGGAAAACATTCTGTAGACCTTTAGCTGTTTCTGACATAACAACTGTGTCATCTGCATATAGCAGAATAAATATTTTAACAAATATACCCATGCGTTCTTGAAAATAAATTATCAATATACTGGAGTTGGTCAACATTACTTTACTCAACATTACTCAGCATGGAGCATTGACGTTTCCTTATACGCCTGTCCAGCTCATCCCACAGATGCTCAATGGGAGACATGTCGGGGCTATATGGGGGCCATTCCAGAGGCTGAACGTTGTTTGCTGTGAGAAAATCACGACTGACTCTGGCAACATGCGGTCGAGCATTGTCTTGCTGGAAAATTAGGTTATGACGTCTGAGAAGTGGAAAGACATGTGGTTGGAGGATCTGGTCTCTGTATCGAACGGCATTGAGGTTTTGATCAAGGACCACTAAGGGGGATTTTACTCCATGGGAGATGCCTCCCCAAACCATTACAGAAGCCCCACCGAATCTATCACGTTCAACCACGCATGCGTCGGCGAAACGCTCACCGCGTCTGCGATATACCCTTTTTCTTCCGTCTGAGCGATACAGACAAAATCTAGACTCGTCGGTGAACATCACACGCCTCCATCGACGCATCCCAAACCTATTCGGGCCATGTCTGCGCATCCAGTCAAGACGCACTTGCCGCCTCCGTGGTGTCAGAGGTAGCCCGACATAAGGTCGGCGCGCAATGATTCTCTCGGCACGCAAGCGGTTCCTGGCAGTTTGAGGACTAATGGGTCTACCATGAGTACCTAAGGTATGCAACGCAGTTTCTACAGCCGTCTCGAATCGCCCTGTCTTGTCGTGCGGTCGTTACACGCGGACGACCGCTCCTGGGACGATCGGAAACTAACCCAGTAGCACGGAAACGTGTACAGAGACGGTTAATTGTACACGGGCCAACACCAAACTGCCGTGCGACATTTTGAAAAACTGTTTCAAACTTAAAAGTCAAGTTCTCCTTGGCCGATTGAACTGAAACTTAATAGAAATGATCGACTCATGGTCCTGACAAAGTGTTGTTATCTTTTGGGTCGATCAGATTTCCAACATGGCCACCATGGCCGCTATTTTGAAAAACTATTTCAAACTTTAAGTCAAGTTCTACTGGGCCGATTGAACTGAAACTTGGTAGGAATGATCAACTCATGGTTTTGACAAAGTGTTGTTAATTTTCAGGTCGATCAGAAATCCAATTTGGCTGCCACGGCCACTATTTTAAAAATAACTATTGCAAACTTAAAAACAAGTTCTAATAGGCCGATTTAGCTGAAACTCGGTCTAGGAATGATCAGCTCATGGTCCTGACAAGTTTAAAGTGTTGTTATTTTTCGGGTCGATCAGAAATCCAATTTGGCTGCCACGGCCACTATTTTGAAAATAACTATTGCAAACTTAAAAACAAGTTATAATAGGCCGATTTAACTGAAACTCGGTCTAGGAATGATCAGTTCATGGTCCTGAAAAACTTAAGTTAACGTTATACTTACAGAAATGTAACTCTTTTTTACCCAAATTGGTACATATTTTCAGCAACAAAAATAAATACTGTAGGACTCAGGTGACCGTTAAGGCCCATGGGCCTCTTGTTTAAGTTCTAAGAAATTCCGGGGGCGGGGTTAAAATCTACAAGAAGCTCGAGCTCTAGCTAGATATCTGGTACAATTAAAAGTCAATTTGACTAGTATTTTTAGCGTGTAATTTGAGCTTAAAATTTGTCCATTTTATTATCATTATTCATTTTAAGCATTTCAGCCAAATGAAATAGACAAACTTCTTGTCCGAAAAAAAATGCCGCGCTGTGTTTTATCTTTATCTCTATACATATGTTCACGCTCTTTCTGTGATCATTTGTTATATCTTTTTTATCTTATGAAAATACGGGCTATAAAGTTGCGAGCAATATGATTTGTTTCTGATGTTATTAAACGATAAATTTTAAAGCTGAATTAAAATAATGATCTAAATCTTCTTTTTTTGTAGGATCATAAAACAACTCACAATAGGCCTCAAAAAGGAGGAAATGGTGGGTCCATAACCCTTTGATCTTTTGTATCATTTTCGTACATCCCGTTCGAATTGTATGATTTGGTGAATACTTTACATTTTCGTATTGACATTTGTAGATCTGCCTGTCTTTATCGCTAAAAATATAACATTTACATTTATAAAGTAAACAAACCGGTCTGTCCACATATAAATGAACACACGTCTCCTGCAGTTATCGCTCTTTGAACATTGTGTCCGCCAGATGTCGCATGTGTGTAAAATGGCGACTGAAACCAATCAACAGGTGTAAACAAATTTTCCCAGGTGTTTTTATAATGGAAAATGACGAAAATATTGCGTGAAACAAGGAAGAAGAAACATGTCACTCTCTGCAACTAATAGAAAGTCGTATTGGACAGATCAAAGAGACAGGTGAAATAAAACAGTAATCAGAAATAACGGCAGCGACTTGTCCGTATCACGGTGACAGTTCGCCATACTTCAACACGTTCGCCCCAATCACTCTAACCTATGTTCAGGTCCTGTTGATGTTGGTTTGAAGATAAAGACGATACAGTATACTGTGAGGGCTATATTTTAACAAAAAATACAGAATATAGTCCTCCCAACGCCAACGTATCTTATTTTTTCCTCCAGCCAATGTCAACAACACCGTGTGGCCGAGTTGTACACAAGATTCTTTATTAGGATAATATGAGCCAACATTATTTCCCATTACTGTAGGCCTAGGTGGTTTTGACTGTACACCTGATAACTTGGTACCGTGGAATTCTCCGTGTCCACATCTTATTTCACGCAGACTATCTTTCAAACCACAATCCCTTTGTTTAAATTCTGAGACAGTTCATTTGATTTTCATAGAACATGTATTAAAAATGAAACATAATGTCATACAGACAATTATGTTCTGTATGCATTTATATGTATTTAGCATTCCGATGACGACTTTGACTGAAAATTCCATTACATTCAAAACTACCTCACAAATCCCGAATTGCATCTCTGTTGAATTTACATAAACATCACTGTTACATGTGCAAATGTCCCATTTCAACTATCCAGCTCCCTCCCTGTCTGGTGGATTATCTTAATACATCATACCTGATAATTTAATGTTGTGTCCCTTTTAAAAACCTTTGATAATATGCACTACAATCATTTCCCTTCCACGTGACATCATTTACCTGGTACATTAAGTTGTGTAGACATGATGAAATGTTGCCCAAATTAAAGCATTTCGACGACCTATTACTAGGGTCATGTGACTAATAAACTGTGTAATAATCATTGCATTTAGATTTCAAATTTCACTTTGATCATGCATCCTCTAAATAAAATTCTGGGGTGCAAGGAATAGAGGCATTTATAAACATCAATCCCTACCAACTGGGATTAACCGAAGCTAAACTGTCGCATGCATAATTAACCCCCTCCACATTAAAGCCATTTTGGTCTCTGTGGAATATTACATGTACAGTAGATAGTTCATTATAGTGCTATTACTGAATAATTAAAGCTTTGCCAAAAGTGTACTGCATATTATAGGGACTTGCTTCAGAAAATGATTAATGTATGTATACATGTTTTGTAGTCTTTCTTCAGTATACACATATAAGTATTACCATTAATTTTAATTCCAGTTTAAACAGGATCCGTTCAAGATTAAGTGATAGAGACTCGCCTAAGCGCCTTCGTGAGTCCCCTGTAGGCCAAAGAGACCATTCTCCATATGGGAAGTACAGAAAGCCTACATCTCCTGCCTACTTACCCAGGTAAAGTGATCCGTATATTGTTACACACAACTTACCCAGGTAAAGTGATCCGTAGATTGTTACACACAACTTACCCAGGTAAAGTGATCCGTAGTGTTACACACAACTTACCCAGGTAAAGTGATCCGTAGATTGCTACACACAACTTCAGTCAAAGTTCACTAAATCAACCTTTGAGGAGTTAAATTTCTTGACGTGTTGAACTGTGGCAAATTCCATATTTTTTCCTTATAAAACACTAAGATACGCCGTTAATAAATCGAACTTTTAAGAGTCTAATTTCAGGCTATTTGGAACTACAATCAAGGTCTGATCGTTAGGAAAGCATTGCAAATCCTTACAGAAATAGAAAGTTTGCAGGCTGTGATATTGAGGCCCACAAATCAGTTCGCCAGCACATGTTGCCACTAGCAGTGACTAATATAATCTTCCCTTACCTTGAGGTTATGACAGAGAAATCTATACCCAGGGGTGATGTTTTTTGGTTGCAATTGTCTAACCCGAGGCTCTGCCGAGGATAAGACAATTCCCAAAAGAATCACACAGAGAGTTGGAGATTTCTCTGTTACACCCTTAAGGTAGGGGATGACTATTTTCTTCCATCCTATTTTTTCAGTCACAAATCCACCGACAATAGTGTAAACAAAAACACATGTGGAGTATGAATATCGTCATTCACTTTTGATGACATCACAAGTACCTGTAATGCATTTCTATGATATCACAATTGAACATGTGCTAATCGGCACGAGGCTATCTCCCCCTAGGGGGTGACAAGCTGATCTTTCCCGGCTAAAATGGGAGACACACCTGTGAAGGGTGGGAGAAATTCTAGTGATGTTCTGGCACACATTTCATGTCGCTAGTATGTCACCAGCAGTGCAACAAAGATAAGGAATGCCCAAGATCCTCTGTAACTTGTCTAAATAAAGTTGAACCTTAGATTCAAAAATTACAAAATGGCTGATGAATGATGAAGAGGTACACATGGTGAAAGGAAAAACGGAGGCTTTACTTTTTTTGGATAAAGGAACAGCATTCTTGTGTATTATTAGGTAATGTAGAATATGTTTTCCTCTATATTTTTTATAATCCATAGTCACAAATCATGTAAAATCTTAAATGAATTGTATAGTGCATTTTCATACAACGTACAATATTAAGTTTAAATTGTGTCATGCAACCGCAAGTGCACTAGAACTTTCTGGCTATATGTTACCGCAAGTGCACTAGAACGTTCCAGCTATAAAGCCGCAAGTGTGCCAGAACATTCTGGCTATATCGCCGCAAGTGAGCCAGAATATTCTGGCTGTATCACCAGAAATCTAATTTGCATACAAAATGTGAACAGGCGGTGATATCGCAGCAATGTTTCGGCGCTATCACAGCAATAGTGTGCCAGAGACTCAATATTTCTGTAAGGGAATCTAAAAGAGAATTTTTGTTTTCACATTATAAGTGGAAAGATTTTAATCTTAGACTCTCCCAGATCTTGTCTGGTTGGTATTAACTGCATGGACATAATTTTACAAATTGAATTACACAGTATGTCCTTCATCGTAATTCAAATAATCCAAATTCCTGACTGGGAACATTTTTAAGTTGGTCTTCCAAAACTATACAAAATCACATTTCCATCAAATACAATAAGTTCTGTTTTCATTTAGTTTAGCCAGTTTAATATATATAGTTACCAGAGACTGGCTTTTTAGTGCTGAATTTTCATTATTCTGGTAGTAATGATTGAGATCTAAATAATTAATGTTTTCAGGCTTGAACGTCACGATCGGACGCCTGAAGGGTACAGAGATGACCACGTCAGGGGGGGCCAATATGGAGTTGTCCCCCCTGTACATCGTCGTGAGAAAAACAAAAGGTATAAAGTGATTTAAAATAAGTATCAGTAACATAAATATTGATCTGTCACTTTAAACAATGTAAACAAGAATGCCATTTTACCAGCTAACTAGACTTTGCCCTGTTTGTAATTAGCTCCCCTGGCCCAAAGAGCAAGTGTGCTAATTACTGTATTGATGCTGCGTCCGTCGTCCATCCATCAACATTTAGCCTTTCACCCCTAGGTAACTTGAATACACTCTACCCTACTTTCATCTTGATGTGTCCATTAAGGTCTATAGTAGTGAAAGGGTTTAATGATTACTGAAGAGGCCTTGGGTGATGATATCTGGCCAGTGGCATATGCTGGGATGATGCAGTATTGAAATGAATAACCTTAATCCACTTTCAAGGTCAGAGGGGTCAAATATGTTAACAAGAGGCCCATGGGCCTTAACAGTCACTTGAGTCCTACAGTATTAATTTTTGTTGTTGAAATATGAAGTGGAGATAATGATGTCAATCATCCCTACCAAAATTTGAGTTAAAAAAAGTTAAGTATAACCTTAAGTAAAGTTTGCCAGGACCATGAGTTGATCGTTCCTACCAAGTTTCAGTTAAATGGGCCCAGTAGAACTTGACTTTAAGTTAGAAATAGTTTTTTTAAATGGCGGCTGTGACAGCCATATTGGATTTCTAATCGACCTCAAAAATAACACTAATATAAATAATATAAATAACGCGAAATCAGATATTTTCGTGGGGCCCAAATTACGCTGTTTTCCAAAAACCACCAATTTGTGGATTACAAGTACCAATTCAAATAGAGGATAACTTTTAAGTCAAACTTGTAATTACTTAATGGAAGTCATCCACCTATAAATAAGTGGATGAAGGTCACCCACCTATGAATAAGTGGATGAAGGTCACCCACCTATGAATAAGTGGATGAAGGTCACCCACCTATGAATAAGTGGATGAAGGTCAACCACAAAATCAACACAATTAAAAATACAAGACTATTAGACAATATACATCCGTATACAGTTGTAAAAGTGGAAGTTTTGTGTGGGAAAATGTTTGCATTATGATCTTTTAAACTTTAAAAGGTGCAGAAATTTTCGTGTTTGCAACATTTAAAAAATCTATATATTCTATTTATTGATAATCTATAAATATTTGTTTGGGGATATATTCATGCTAGTTTACTCGCCACAAAAAACGAAACATTTCCACACCATAACAATTTCCACTTTAAAGTATCGTGTATTTAGATTTCATACCTCCCCAATGTCACATCTAATTTTTGATATCTGATTTACTTTTGATTATTTTCATTTCGCTTTTTGAAGTCTTCTTGAAAAAAGAGAAATGTTCATATTGTATGTCTTTCCTTATGCAGCCCGGCAGTAGACTATGACAGCTGGGGTGAGGAGAGTGACGAAGAAGAAGACCACCATCAGCAGCCTCAGTATTATATGCCCCAGCCACTTCCCTACGGTTACCCCACCTATGTGCCCCCTGGAGGTCCCCAACCTGTCGTGTTTGGACCCCCTTTTCCCATGTACTACCCCCCACCCCCGCAATATCGTGGGAAAAACAGACGCAGTAAAGACAAAAGGCGACACAAATCACCAGACCAAAACAGATCATATAGGAATGATCCCCCCCTTCACCATTCTATACCAGGACAGGATATCTACGGAACATATCCCCGGGAACCGTCAGTCAAGGATGACGTTCTCAAAAGATATAGGGTAAGCTTCATTTACACATGTGTTTAATTATGTAATGATTAAGGTGTTAATATGAATCATTCAAACTGCGAATTAAAAAATTAGTTTTGAAGATACATACATTTTCATGTGATGGTTTTTAAACTCCAAACAGTGAACTTGAATCAGCTGTTGTATTTATTGATCAGATTTTATTTGACAATTCTTGATTCGTAAGACCTGGATATACAGTAGGTTCATGATGGGTATCGGAGTACCAACAAAATACATGAAAATAACACCTCCACAAAAATAATGAATTGATGCTGTAGTGTGTTTATTCTGTATTTACTTTACAGTATATTCACCCGCGAGATAGTCCGTTTACTCCCCCGGCTGGGGAGACACTAGTGGAGCAACGATACAGAGGAGATATTGTAAGTACAAAGATATTTTTATTTTTTTTAATTTTTGAATGTTAATGTTGTGGAATTTGAATTTGTGTTTTAATTAATTGATTGGTTTTATTATGAAGTTGTGAAGAATTGATTTTGATTGATTGCTTTCAATAGAATTGATGTGATTAAAATGATTTGAAAGTGATATTTAAATTCCCTAAGTTTTTAGAAGTAGTTGTTTTAATGAAACATAGATCTTATTACAAATTTCAGGATCCATTGTATCTATGTGTTAAGACCATTTAATGGCAGATTCTTATACGGTTTTCTTCTAATCTCATAAGGAAAATATCATGTCTTGATGTTAATTTAGAAAATTATTTTGATGTTTGGTTCTGCTAGTTACAACTTTATAATATTTATCAGAGATTATTCATTATCTCCCTTACTAGGTTAGTTATTTAATTATTTTTCTCCCTATGAAGTAATTTGTAAACGAGATATATTTAAAATACAAAAAAAAAACTGGTTTATATTACATGAAAAAATTGTTTGATTCAAATATGATTTGCTGATTTGCTGATGATATCTTGATTAAAGCCAAAATTGATAGAATTACAAACTTTCAGCTATAAGTATAAAAAGAAGCTAGATTTATATAGAGCTGTGGAAAACAAGATATACACTTTCAATGTTTAGCTAGAGTAAGTGTTTGTTTTTATCATGTGTGTGCTTTGCCGATAAAGAAATTTACCATTGCAGTATTGGTTGTGAAGAATAACTATAAGTCTGTGTTCTGTCTAAAACATAATCAATGTTGCAGTATTTGTTAAAACAATTACTGATAATTTTCTCGATTAACCAACAACTTTCAACGTTTAGTTCGGTAAGGGTATGGTAGTTTAGTATGAAGCTGAATTTTTATTCTGAAATAATGAGATCATAGATACTCTTTTCTACAAATTCTAATGTTTATTGCCAACAAAAGCATGTAGGATTTTAATGTATATACTTTTCTTTATCTTATAATACTCTTAACCGCCTGACTCAATTTATCTACTATCATGACATTTTCAGGTAGATAAACTCAAATTTCTCTGACTGGAGTCTATTTGGTAATGGGAATAGAATTCTCTTTAGTACAAATCTTAATGTATAATATCTCTTGTTAATGTTTTTCTGGAGATTCATATAAATATTTGCTGAATTTATTTATATTAACTAATGTGAAAACAATTTTGAGTTAAAAGAATAAACTTTATTTATTTTGCAAAAAACAATTACGAAACAGTATATTTATTTTAGCTTCAGTCACTCTGGTTAGCCCGGATGTTATTGCATGGGGTCTTAGTCCGGTACAGTGGAATCCAATTTTGGGTCGGCTAAACTCTATCAATTTGACAGTAATCATTTATAATGCTGTTCAAAATTACAAGATAATATTTTTAACAAAGAGAAAAAAAGAAAAAAAGGAAAACAGTAAATTGTTCAACTGTAAAATTTTAATTATCACAGCCTTAATGTTAATGCAGACACCATTTTAATTCCTACCGTCTACTCTATCCAAACAATTATATCATTATCTCTTTCTCTTTTCAAAACTGTCAAAATTATCCCGTCTATCTGAGCCCAACGGTCCATGATGGTAGCTGTTTTTGCAAATTGCAATCCATGCCATGTAGCTGGATTAGATAGTCAAGTGTATCTTAATATTTTAATCAATTAGTGACTACAGGCATTCATATTATCCAGCCAAAATTATGATATCAGTATCCATAATAAAGAAATATTTCATAAACATTGGAATGAACATTAGATATTAAAAAAAATCAAGTGATAGATATCTTAAATCTTCCTTTTTCTATTTCAATAAAATATCTGTTTAAACGAAAATAATATCTTCAGATATTCATCAAAACGGTTTATTACCAACAAAACAAGTACAGTGGCATCCAATGGAAATAGGTTTGACATTTATGGGTTTGGTTTCCAGTCAATGGAATGCATTGTAACATCTGTGGTTATGGTCCCCAGCCAATGAAATGAAGTGTTACATGTGTGGTGTGGTTTCCAACCAATAGAGTATGGTGTTGTGTGGTTTTCAGCCAATCATATTCCTTTTTACAGGATTCGTTGATGTATTTTCACTTCACTGACCACCCCTTGTTTGCGGAGGACACGGTTGATTGGTTGACTAATGACTTACTAGAAGATATTATCCCTGATCTGCTCATTGAGACTTTTACTGATATTTCTAAATCGGTTTGTACCCAAATTAAACCAACTCACTCAGTAATCAACGAATTGCTTATAGCTTCCACTATATTGAGTATCATCTTTCCTAATACTGTGGTGATTTGTCTAAACTCACATGGCTTGCTCCTGATTCACAAAATGCTCCAAACGTGAGTCCCTTTTTATTATTGGACATTTTTTCTTAGTCTCAATTAGAAATAATTACAATCTTAAAATTTGCAAAGAGTTTATGGTCAGGGTTAATTGCAAATTGTTTTAGTATGAAATTAAATGCAACTTTTTTTTTTTTTTTTAAATTGATGCACTATTGTAAGATATGCAATGACAGCAACCCTGTTAATGCAAAGAGGAGCTGAAGATTTAAAGATTCCGGGCAGTAGTAATTATTGTGAATCAATTTGAGCAAGCTACCAGTACTAACATATATACCCCAGCCTGCTTCTGTAAATCTCATAGACTTAATGGATACTGATTTCTCCCGGTAATCTTACGAATTTTCTTTGACAGTTTCTTTGAAATAATAATGAATGATTGATCGTGAATTGTTCGAAATCTTGAATGAGTGTAAAAAGGGACACAATGCCAAGAAAAATTGTTTTTCCTTTTGGGAGACATTGAAAAATTTGTGTGAGAATTTACACGTTTAATTGAAAAGAAATTAATTGAAAAATAATGTCTTGCCATTTTATAGGGGTTTCTTGTGTCTTTTCCTTTTTTGTCCCATCTCGTCTCGCCCTGATAAGGCGTACTATTGATAAGAAACATCAGTTCTTAATGGATTTTGATCAAACTTTACACCAAGGTCAAGTATGTGAATACTTTCAAGGTCAAGGCCAAGGTCATTTTGATACTATTTATAGACGCTTGTCCTCTAATTCAGTGACATCACTCTAACAACTTTATTTCTGAACCGATTTTCATCAAACTTTATACAAAGGGCAAGAATTAAGTTGAATGGGTTTGAGTTTCAGAGTTTCAAGGTCAAAGCCAAAGTCATCGTTACCACTTTGTAGATATTTGTCAAAGAGTTACACTAACTTGCATGTGAACGGGAACATTTACCGAAGTCTAATAGTGATTTTCAATCTGCTGTATAATTGTATATAAATGTTATTGAGATGGTTTACATTAGTTTTAGTGTGTAGTATTCTATATGACACTCCTTTTTGTCTAATTATACCTACACTTTAATAATATTTCACCTGATTATCTGCTTTCTGCTGTCTCACATGTATGCTTTATACTGTACTTCGGGATAATTTGGGGTCACCAAAATTTGGTGTTTTTTTGCTGACAAAGGGGTGGTGTAATTTTACTGTGTCAAATTCTGGCATTTGATGATCCAGTGTGCTAAATTTGATTTATTTCCAATGCTTGAAGTTAAGCTGATAAATGACAGGACTCAATCATCAATGTAGCTTTTGTTTACACAGGAATTCACTGAAAATATGTTAGTATGGTTATTATGAAACCAAATAAAATTATTATGTTATTCCTGCCGAAACTAAACAAATCAAAGTTTCGCTTAAATGAAAAAAAAACACCCATGAAAGTTAGCACTTGATGCATAATAAATGAGTTGGAAGACAGTCAGCTAATGTGCGGTTATCATGACTATACTATGGCATCATGAAATTTAAATGTGTTTGATTTTGGCTCATTCACTCCATGCAAGCAACCAAAATCTTAAGTACCCAAAAATTCCCAATTTTAGTATAGTAGTATACTACATCTGTAATCTACTGTCTCCTAGCTATCTTGTAATTAACTTAACTACAAGTAAGTATCTTAGAAACACTTATTTCTTTGTTTAGCAATCACTGTACATGTCGAGTAAGGATTATTATAGTAATTTACATGAATATTTAATTATTCTGCCTTATTTTAGAGTTGTAGACGCAGATCATGATTAAGACATGAAATATTCATGAGCAAACAGTAATTTTGAAATTTTCTCTCACAGTTTCTGATATATTTCAGCCTTTTTTTCAGAAATGTGGAAAAATGAAATAATCCTGCAATTATAGTCAATCTGCCTTAGATCTTACATAGCAGTTAAATTTAGGTAATATTCCTTGTTAGATAATAGGTTTTTAATTGAATTAGATAATATTCCCTTTTGTGCAGCCTTAGTTGAGTAAGAGAAAAGTCTTTAAGAGCGGCCTAAATTGAGTTAGATAATGTTCCTTATTAGAAACGTTAATTGAGATACACAATACCGGTTATACTTTATGAACAGCCAGATATGGGTTAGACATAATTTTCCACATTCCTTATTAGCAGCCTTTATCCTTTCTGAGTGGCTTATATCTAACATAATAGTCCTTATACACAGCATTCGGTAGCAGGAACAGAACCAAGAGTTTAGGGGAAACAACATCTTATACCATAAATTGTTGCAAAAGCTGTCTGCATATTTCACTGAACCTGCTTGCTGCTTTGTTGTAAAGTTAGAAAACAAATCGATATGTTAATGTAACATATACCTGAAATACTTTCCATCAATTTCTGGCTATCAGCATTAGGGGTAGTATGTGTGCTCCTAGTTTGTGACTGTATGGTATTTCATATTAGATGTTATTCACATATAGAACATTATTTTTACTAATAAAGAATTGTATGCTAAGAGACCAGTTTTAAGAATCAATTTAATTTATTTTTCATATTTTCATTAGATTAAATGTCTTTGAAAGTTGGTTATAAAACGAAGAAAAGTATGTTACATTGTAAATGAAATGTATGCATTAATTTTAATACTTTAATAAATATATCTATGGGAGGTACAAATAAAAGTCTGTTTGTGACTGCAGAAGAAAGGAGAGGAATTATATGGAAGTTTTTCTGTACAAACAAATGAAAGGTAGCATTGCGGAAAGGTCATCAATGTAACAGAAGGTTCAACTACTTTCTACTTGTTTGGTATAACATCTGAGCTTCTAACAATAAATTAAAAAATATATTGTAGTTTACCAAAAATCTCATTATCAAGTTATTTTACAGAGATTTAGTTTTCTTTATTGCTGCTAAATTATATCAAGAATATATAGAGAATCAGTTATTGAATTTCAATAAAATTGTGTACTTTAAAATTACAAGCCTCTCAAGTTTTCAGTTTACTTATGCAATGCAGGTGAAGGTCACTTAAATCTCAATTAAATATAGGTTTATGTACCATCTCTCAACTAGTCTCCTACTATTTCATTTTTACCCCATTCTGGATTGCGATTGGATTGTCGTTGATATCTGAACAAGAGACACAGTGTTGACATTGTTAGATGTATTCGTTGTTTATCGTTAGATGTATTCGCTGTTTTCTTTAGATGTATTCGTTGTTTATCCTTCAGACACCTAGTCATCCGCTCCATGGCGTGTCAGGAACTCTCGCGGAGGAGATCGGCAGCGAGGTTGTTCAGGAGGAGATCGAGGCTGTTGTGAAGGAAGCTGTCAATGACATGGTCAATGAGTGAGTTAACATAAACATATAGGGGCTGTTTATTTTCTATTATTTTTTTCTGATAAGTTGAGGTTCTAGTGTAGAAGGGTGTGTTTTACAGAGTCATTGATTACCACAAAAACTGGTGTAATTTGCACATTTTTTTTGTGTTGGAATTAAATTTGAAGTTGGGGGTGCACAAATTATTTAATAATAGCTATATATATTTTCATAGTGTTTTTTACGGGAAGATCGTCAAATTTTATGGACAGGATTTGCTGCAGATCCGTTTGTACACAGAACTTGATGACAGATTAACATCTGACATTTTATTCTTAATAAAATATCTGACATTTTATTCTTAATAAAATATTTATAAAGTATGCATAATACATATTTGTGTTGCTGTATGAATTGATAAGGCAATTAATGTTAGGTTACTAAACAAATCAAAATAAACGAAACCCTACACTATCGTTTAATGGTAGATGCATATAAATCACATTCTCAGCGGCCAAAATTTAGGCCTATTATCTTCACATTAATTATCACAAGGATAAAACAGTTTACAGAAACACTGCAATTTTAAATTAATGACAGGACCTAGGTTGCTTATTTCTGCAAATTGGTTCTTTGCCAATAATAACTTTGTTAATGTAAAATGAAGATTTCCAAACGGAATCAATGAGACTGCAATGTCTTCTCCAGTAAGTTTTCTACCTCTTTATCTTCATAGGCCTGTGCCTAATTATGTGACTTTGGGAAACATCACACAAAAAGTATGATTTTGGGAAAAATTACTTGTGATTTTCGCAAATAAAAATTACAATGTATCTAGGGAAAGGGGGCTTATAGTGACTCACCATAACAAATTACTGTTTGAACTTGTGAAAAATACGGGTATCCTCCCCTGCTCGTGAGTTATATTATGGTATTCAATGGGAAACCATTAAATATCCCCTATATGGTTTATGTCCAACCCTGTTAATTTATTTTCAAATATCTACCAGATGAAACTTATATTCTGTTGGATACTGAGCACATTCTCTTCAAAAAAGATTATAATTGATTGTCACTGTGGATATAAACTTTGTGTCATCATCAGAGACTCAATAAAATATAAAAAATATCTTCAACCTGTTTCATATATCTAATATATTATAACTCAGATAAGATACTATATATACACATGTCTCTCTATATATAAGGGCTGCAAGGTACAGTACACAATATTTTTGGGAGGTTATGATACACCTACAATATTATCATGGGGATTTGTCGTTTCTGATTTAGTCTACTCATATTGATTCCAACATGGCGAGCGACAGCTTCAGCTCGGCATGCACATCAAAATATGTGAATGGTGTGAAACTTTAAAGTCATGCCTATTTTGGACCAAGTCTGTTTCCAATATATTGTCATTAAAGATTCGCAACACATCTATTGCTTAATTCTACAGTTACTATATGTATCGAGATACGTATTGTATCGTGATTCGTATTGTATCGTGATTCATATCGTATCGTGATATGTATTGTATCGTGATTCGTATCGGGATACGTATTGTATCGTGATTCATATTGTATCATGATACATATTGTATCATGATACGTATTGTATCTTCATGTTAACCTATCATTGCAGTTCTAATATACACTATATAGTACTTGAGTTGTACCGTCACATTGATTCAGATTCATCTGAATTTGACCCTATGACATACAAGTCTTGTTTTTGACCTCTGACCTTTTGTTACAGTCACATGGGCAGTAAGAGTGGAGAGGATTGGCTGGCAGCCATCATCAATGACCGGATAGCCAACAGTGTGTTTGATGACCTACTTGATGGTCACATCGACAATATAAAAGATGAACTGGTAACCACAACCTTTTTTACGCCCCCTGCTATATAATGGAGAGGGCATTAAGTGTCTGCCTTTTCTGTCATCCTGTCAATAAAATATCTTCTTAAGGCTATATATAATATAGGAAATTATTTACTTTACAACAATTATGAAACAAATTATTCATCTAATAATGATGACTCAATTATTGTTAGCCCAGATGTTAGCGCAGGGAGGCTCTTAATGTGGGAGGAAACCAGAGTACCCGGAGAAAAACCCATGTGGTTAGGCAGGTGGTTCCATACCATGTTACATTCGCTTGGGGAATTTACCTCGACTGCTGCCTCGGTGAAAGGCGAGTGCATTATCACCTGTGCCACCCGACCACCCTATACACTTTAGACTACGCGTTTTGCTAAGATACTTAAATACTGGAAGTGAGAAAGTTATCAAATTTAATGCACCTCGAGTACTACATCGCAAAAATAAATCAACTGAAGGTCACTTTGACCTAAATTTCCTATTTCACTTACTTGGGATAGATTTTATGTTTAGTTCATTTTTTATGAAATTTAGCATTTTCTCTCTCCAATTACATCCAAGAAGTGGTGGTATACCAGTATGAATGTTTTACGTATTTCAGTTGGTTATTTTTTGTTCAGCTTCTTTATACAGCCCTGCTTTCAAAGTCATGGTTACTGTAGTTTTCTTGTTCATATAAGTGATGACAAGCAAGGGTCATAAAAAGGTTAAATATGACGTTTTCTGAATGTTGAAAGTGGTTTCTGAGTTGGGCCACAGTAGAAAATTGAGATTTAACTTGTTCTAACTACCGCTGTAGATAATGGAAATTTAACGTGTTCTGACTACCGCTGTAGATAATGGAGATTTAACGTGTTCTGACTACCGCTGTAGATAATGGAGATTTAACGTGTTCTGACTACCGCTGTAGATAATGGAGATTTAAGGTGTTCAGACTACCACTGTAGATAATGGAGATTTAACGTGTTCTGACTACCGCTGTAGATAATGGAGATTTAACGTGTTCTGACTACCGCTGTAGATAATGGAGATCTAACGTGTTCTGACTACCGCTGTAGATAATGGAAATTTAACGTGTTTTGACTTTCGCTGTAGATAATGGAGATTTAACGTGTTCTGACTACCGCTGTAGATAATGGAGATTTAACGTGTTCTGACTACTGCTGTAGATATTGGAAATTTAACGTGTTTTGACTTCCGCTGTAGATAATGGAGATTTAAGGTGTTCTGACTACCGCTGTAGATAATGGAGATTTAACGTGTTTTGACTACCGCTATAGATAATGGAGATTTAACAGGGTTTGATTTTCTGTGTAGATTACGGCCATCATCCAGGAAGTTGTGATAGAGGGCTACTTGGAAGATGAGATCATTGAGGTAGAAGTGGAAGAGGAGTCCGCAGAGATTGCACATGACATTCTAAACCGCTTTGACTCAAAACTCATGAGGAAAGAACTGAAAGAGGTAAACGCTTTCTGCCTGTATTACCTTATTTGACCTTTAAATAACCTGGGGCAATTGGCACTTGGGGAAAATTTAAATAATTGAAGAATCTTTTGTAATTTTCAGTAATGGCTGTAAAAGACAATTTTTTGATAAATTATGGTGAAGGTTGGACCTTCAAACTAGAAAAAGAAAAGGGGTGCATATAATGGATGGGGCATTTGTAAAGTCCAAGCCATATTGTGAAATATGTAATGTGTTTTATAGTGGTTATATAAGTATTGATTCCTGCTGACAATTTTTAGAAATAATATGTTGTGTACCTTCATAAATGTTGACCAATATATAAGTTTCCTGTGTGAGGACAGATTTGTATGAATGCTGACCTGAGTGACCCAAACCAAAATAATACACAATACTGTATACTGGGAAATTGAAGTTTAAAAATTTGCCTTGTTCACCTCCATAATGAGGGTGAATTTATCATTACATAGGGAAAAAGGCGTGTTTTATTCTGTTTATTACATACCTACTAATAAAAACTACTATCTTATGATCTATTTTTCTTTTTGAAATATTGAAAAACGAAAAAAATTCCAAAAGGGGTGTGATATGGGTTTTGCGGGCTGATACAGGTTTTAAGGTGTGATACAGCGGCGGCTGATACAGGTTTTGGGGTGTGATACGGCGAGGGCTGATATGGGTTAGAGCAAATGTGTCGTATCGCATATACAAAAAACCCATATTTATTAGTAAGTATGTAATAAAGTGAATTAAACAACATAATATGCATAGTAATGAATTTGACATTATGAGAGACGAAATTAACACCAGGAGAAATTCAATTTTGTGCGTGAAGTGCGAAGTTTGACAGGGCGAAAGTTTCCCAGTATATTGCTGGAAAATAATGATTGGAACTGTGATTTAAAAAAAGTTCAACCAGTGTTATATTCAAATTGTTGCAGGTATCTAAGAAGGCCAACGAGAAATTGATGGATCAGTTTATTGTTGAACAACTTTTGTTGTTGGTGGCAAAGCAAGGCAAAGTATGGGGTGAAAATGACCACTACAACAAAATCATGGATGGTAAGTTGCACAGTTCTTAAGCGGTTACGAACGATGACTGTGATATTTTCCTTTAGATAAAGTTTGCCAACATATACATCTTTTTCCACTCAGTTTTTCAGTCCATCAGCCTATGTGTCACTTTGTCCGGAGCATATCTCAAATAAGTTGTCAAATTTTAATGCAAGTTTTGCATACTGGTCTTGTACCCCTCTATTGACAGAGTTATTGCCCTTTGGTTATTTTTGGTACTAAAGTCTGTCACAAAGTGGGCAACCTCTATACTCCAGGAGTTACGCTCACTTTGGCTCTCTGCACCCCTAGAATATGTCACAGCAATATCGAAGGCTCAGTGGGCACCACCTTGTGGATGAGACAACAAGACTAGTAAGATATATTACCTGTAAATGATCGAGATCGGGTTATCTCAGTCGAGGGCTAAGATTCTTTAACATAATCCCAACCAAGGTTACGCCTCGGTTGGGATTTTACAGAATCTTAGCCCGAGACTGAGATAACCTGATCCTGCTTCGTTATAGGTAATATTTTTTTTTCTCGCACCTTTTAGTATCAAGTATCCCGTCTTGGGCCTCGAATAAAATAATGCCTCTACACTACTAAAACTACATTTGAATGCTTCCACGTAAAATATGTAGTCCATCCTTACAAATAAGACCACGTATTTCCCAGTGTAGATTATATTTATCTACAACATCAGATATTCAGCCAAAACAGAAAGTTTATAATGCAGATTGTCAATTCAAGCTGTTAACTCTCGGATGAATACATTGCATTGTAAAAATTCCGCGAAATGTCACATAAAGGTACCAGACAGATCGGACAAGATAGAAAAATCTAGCATGGGGTATGACGTGGGAAATCTCTGTCTGAGGTGCGAGAAATGTTTGATCCTTTCATGTAAATAAAAAAATTCTGTCAGTTGTGTAACAGTAAATTTGACTGTCTTTGAAGTTAGATGTCACTCTGTAATCTTTAAAGGACAGGTATCAGCCTAGTGATTGGTCATTTTATTTTACCTGAAACCAATCAAATGGCTAGCCGTGTGCCTTCAAGAGCGAAAGTGTATCAAGGATTTCAGCATTGCTTGCAGTACACTACCTTGCCATTTTCAGACCAGCAACATTGATGTGCTTATATGTATACCCTATATGGTTTCCAGTTTCTGATGTGTTTATATGTTAACCCTATATGGTTTCCAGTTTCTGATGTGTTTATATATATACCCTATATGGTTTCCAGTTTCTGATGTGTGTATGTGTATACCCTATATGGTTTCCAGTTTCTGATGTGTGTATGTGTATACCCTATATGGTTTCCAGTTTCTGATGTTTTTATGTGTATACCCTATATGGTTTCCAGTTTCTGATGTGTTTATGTGTATACCCTATATGGTTTCCAGTTTCTTATGCTCTTTTGCTGTCACAAGTCTTAAGTTTCCTACAATGGGTTTATTATTGTTCATGTATCTGATTTCCAGATTTTATCCTCACTCGGCTGCTTGAACAGTATTACTTCGTCAGGGACGAGAGAAACAAGACGTTAGCGTCTAAACCCATGAGGAAGTTACACGAGAAAGCTGTTTCTGCTGTGGTAAGATCTTTGTTGTATATCATTGTTGAAAAATTACGTAGGGCGATATGTAACTCCCTAAAAAATTAATAAATTAAAGATTCATCGACATATGACCTATTATGATATATAATTTGTCTTCTAATTAATCACAAACGTGTTTATGTTAGATATGAAAAATCTTGTTATACTGCCAACAATCTTCAAGAGAAATGTTGGCATTATATAGGGGTTTGATGATAAACTGTGGTTAATGTACAAAGGACTTCCTTAAGAAAAAGAGAAAAAGGGATTGTGAAATATTGACGAGAAATTAATGTGTCAAATGAAATGTAGGGCACTAAATGGAGCATTAACAATATTGAATTACTTGCAACAAGTACATGAAAATTATTGCTGTTCCATCAATTGTGTTTACCCCTCCCTGTTACAGGCCTTAGATGTGCTGTTACAACAAATGCATCAATCCCTTGACGAGGACCTGGCTGATGTTGACGAATATGAACGAGGAGTTGATGGCAATCAGTCGGCTCCAGCTACCCCCATCATACCTGCCCCATCAACGAGAATACCTCTCAGGTGAGCGGTCGACCACAAAATTTTATTGACATTTGTCAGAGGATTTCATAGGGGAACGATTATCTACTATGTAACTATACATAAATAGATACTGGACAGAAAGAAAAATGGCTCTATAATATATATATTATCATCATTGAAACTCTAGGGTTTATGCTCATTTTTGCTCTCTGCACCCCTGGGGTATGTCATGGCAAAATTGAAGGCATGTGAGTAGCTATTTGATTGATCTCAGGTAAAAATAAAAATTGACCAATCGCTAGGCTGATACCTGTCCTTTGAAGTTTAAAGAGAGGGAAACCAGACTTCAAAGCCAGTATATTTTACTGTTACGCAACTGCGAGATTCTTATTTTCTCATCCACAAGGTTACACAGACTGAGCCTTTGATTTTGCTATGACATATTCAGTGGTGCAGAGATTGTAAGCGAGCATACCCCCTGGAGTATCGAGGATGACATATTATTGACGGCCTCCCTTGATTAAGGAAGCGTGTATGTTTTGTTCCCTTAATAACCACCCACTTTCGCCTTTTTTTGACACATGCGTTAGGTAAAGCAGGTGTCTAGAGGATCGTGCATACTACAAAGTTTGCTTAATGTGGAATTGCATTTGTGAAAGTAGTGACACCTATGACCTTATATGGAATCTGATATCACCTTATATGGAATCTCATTCATTTACTTTTCATTCATATGCAAATGTTTTCGGCAGCGACCCCTAGCATTTTCATTCAAACCGTAGTGTCACCATTTTGTGGTTAGCCAACTAATAAGCTGAGAAAGCATTCACTTCGATACTTTCTTAACTAGCCAAATGTATGTGATAAATTCTCCCAAATTTATGGTTTTCATCTGACCTACTTACTGTAGTGTTCAAACCTAACTACAGTACACAGCAACACAGACATTAGATAAGAGTAAACATCTGTTCACATTATTTTCAGCAAATTTAAATGGTGTTTATCCTGCATCTCAACTGACTGTAGTGTGTTCGTTTTTCCTAAAGTGTTATATATATAACTATGGAAATATTGCAACAACAAGAAAGCATGTGTCTGGAGTACTTTCAGTACTTTGATTAAGCACCCTGGGTGCTCATTATGGTGAATATTTAAATGAAAAATAGGGCTTAAGCGATATGCATACTATAGTAAATACTGTCAGAATACGTTTTTGTATGGTTTTTTTGTACTTCTGCACAGTAGACTATCTCTTTACTAAAGGATTCTAAAACAACAATTTAAATAAAAAAAATCATAACTTCAGTACCCTTTGTGTGCCATGTTACCTACAAACAAAACAATTTGAAACAATACACAAGAAAGTATCACGATACAATACTTTACGGTACGATATATCATTGCAGTCCTAATGAAATGAAGATCCTGATACCCATGCACCCCTCCTGCCTCTCATCCCAAGCCCCTCTCCAATCAAAAGAAAACAAATGCTGCTTTTCTCTTTGACTTTCTTCTGCCATTAAATATTTCTTTTTGTAATGATATGAAATGGTAGTCTTAAGTCGAACTATGTATCAACATTACAGTATTATAAAAATATACTTTATTTTCCTTACAGCTGATGTAACCGTAATATTTATGGAAATTGACAGAAGCCTCAAAAGATGGTGCTATTGTAGTCTATGTACACTACAATCTGCAAAAGCCTCGAAAGACGGTGTTCGGGGCACATAAATGACATTGCCTAAAAGATTTGGGCCCGTATTCATGAAACCGTTGTCATGCTGAAGCAAGGATTTCCTATTTCAGTCATGAAGTAATACACTGTTAAAAATCTTATTTTGTCAATGACTAAGATGTTCTTTTAAAGAGATTTAAAGCCGAATTCTGATTTCAATGTTTGCATTTGGCTTTTTGATTGTTTGACATGATTATAGTGAGTTACAGGAAAGTTGGTGTGAACACAGAATCCATATGTAAGCATAGGAGTGGTTTCCTGAATAAGGGCCCTGATTGTATAAGACTTTACACACATTTAGTTCAAAGACATTTCCAAGCGAAGGGAACATTGCTCACTAGTTCAGAAAATGTTTCTAGTGTAATATCAATACCGCATAACGGTAAATTTTCAAAGTTTAATTCTTGCTTTTTTCACCCTCTATCAGCAAATAATAAATAAACAATATAATATACAAACTAATCAAAGGTTCAGGGTGAATTCAAGACTGGTCAAAAATTGCTTTTATGGACGAAGGCCGGGAGTTTTACTGGACAAAATTTTCCGCGTACACAGTTCTGCAGTTGGGTACTGTAAAAGCATATTTCGTTGGGGATTTAATTTCGTTTATGTTGTGGTTTTATAAAAATTACGAAATATATAATCCCAATGAAATTTTAAACACATGAAATATAAACTTAACAAAAATATTAAATAAAGTATAGATTCTATTACCAATCCATGGTGTGTTTACATTTAGACTCTTTGTATATAAGCTACTGAGCAAATTTTAAATGATACCCATCATATGAGTAAATTTAGCCCAAAGCTTCTTGTACTAAATTTACCTGCATGGTGTCGTCACATGCCTGCCAATTTGAACTTCATACCTACCAAAAAAAAATAGAAGGTTTTGAAATATTGATTCCATGAAAATAATCCCAACAAATTTGTTCTCATACATAAACAAACGAAAATATATGCTTGAAGAGGATGGAAAGAAATCTGAAATTTTTTGTTCCTTTTGCTGAACAAATTAAATGAAACCATGACAGATTTTTATATATCTTTAATATGGATGAAGGGCAGGTTTAGTTTCCTGCTATAAAGTTTATCATTTACTTTATAACTTGTCTGTCTTTCGTTGGTAAAATATCCGTCCACCAGTTATGCTAATTTTGTCTTCCATAAACATGAAGGAAATGTTGTAGATTGTTGTGATAGATCCAGATACCAGTACTGCCTTATTTATTAACTCATTCACCCCTGAAATTTCATAATGAACTATTTCAACCTTTGAATTGGAAGAGTTCAAATGTGTCTTCAGGGGTGAATGAGTTAACTACCTATATATATCGTTACTGTTCACTGTACTAGGTCTTGTCATTTAAATCTTCAAAACATCACCATTATCATTATTGATATTATTCATCCTGTATTTATTTTGACCAAAGTTTGAGTGTAGAAAGAAGGATAATACCCTGCTTTATGCATTTTGAACGATTATTATATGAAGTTAAATAGCATTTTGACATAATGTCTCTGTCTCCTTGTGTGATGATTACCTGCATCTGTGGACAAAACCTGAATTGAAGCCTCTGCAAACGGTTGGACCAGAGTTGTTCATTTATGAAATAAGGTCAGAACTAGTAATAAACAACACAATATACATAGACATTTGATGTGAAGGGTGAAAATTGGGTTCAATGTCGAAGGGCAAAAGTTTTCCTTGTACAGGTATACAGTGTCTCTTTAAACTCAATCTAAGCCCGTAATTTGAATAATTACCTTTTCAGATTTTAACTGCTACAACATATTCTATTAGATACCCTATCAAGTTCTATACACTCCAGTATTACATTACGAGAGAAGTAAAATACAGGTGGTTGTACAATCGTAAGAAAAGTGTTAAATACGGACTGGGATAAGGCTTATTTCTTAGCTGATGATCTGCTACAGTTTATGTGTGAGGAATAACCACAAATATGTTGAGACCACAAAGCATTCAAGTTTTGCACTAGTATGCGCATTATTTTGGTATAATTACTGTATAACTTTAGATAATAATCCTCATTATACCTTATACTTGAATTAGAAAGAGATACAACTGTTTTAAAAGTAAATTTATGTGTTTTAAATAATTATCAATTTCTGCTAAAAACAAATATTTTTCATAAAACACAACATTGTTCTTGAATTTTATGCCAAGCAACTTAAATTAATCAGAACGTAGAATTATAAATATTGAACTAATTTTTTTTGCAGTATTTGATGTATCTCTTTTGATATTGTCTTTTTCTTTTAGGTTTTACAATAAAATTTCATCTATCATTGGGCAAAACCTTTTCACCACTGTAGACCATAATGGACTTATCCAGATTAATACAAGGTAGAGTTTACTAAAGTAACATAGGGGTGAAAAGGTAAAGTTATTATGGAGTACCCTGGATATCTGTAAAAACAGGGTTTTGCGTCGGGAGAAGATGACTATTGAGCTTATAGAAATATAATTATGTATTTATCCGTCCACCATAGAACACTTGTGTATAGGGGTACATTATTTGTAAATAGAATCACAGGGGTCAGACACCATAGATATAATTAGTTGTAAGAATATTTCTATAAACATTATACTCCTACAGCTATTAAATCATTGTATCTAGCCCCTGTGTGTGAGGTTGCTTTTGATGTTGATATTTTATTTACATATTTAATAGATTTTTGTTAATTACTTTGTGTGTTCTTTAAACTTTTGCTTTAATTTTGGGTTATTTACCCTTTAATTAATATATGTATCTGTATCCTCACATGTAAATACAATTATGTAAACAGGCACAAAAATTGATTATACATATAGTTTCACAACCATTATAGACTGCATTTAAACATATCTGTTAGAAATCACTTCAAGAGGCTATAATTGCAGCGAAATTGATGTAACCTTAACTACAGATCTGGTACTCTAGATAACAGAATGGCATTCCAGATTTCTATAACAATTCCATATATTTGTATACATGAGTTAGAAAATCTGTCTCTAGTCTTCATTCAATTGCTGACTGTTAAAGTATCCTAATTAGGTATCTTCAATTCTAACAAGAACATTTCAATATTTTTGAACCTAGGCTGTTAAAATCTGCAAACCATACTTACAGAAAATAAAGCAAGTAAATTCTGAAAATGGTGGAATATAAATCCCCTGCAAAATATATTTAAAGCTTTTTATAGTAATTTAATTTAGGGAGAAAACTGTAATTTGAAGTTGTAATTAAAAAGGTAGGATATAACCTAAAGTTCCATGTAAAAATGCTGGTTTCATTAATCTGGAAAATTTGACATATTTTAAAGGGAGATAACTCTAATGAAATTAAAGCTATAATAAAAAAAGTTAGCATAGAACCTTAAATACCCGGTTATTATTAATTTAGAATTTCTTTGTCTGATTTGGTTTTTCTTCATTTAAGGATCAAAGTCTGAATGATAGTGGATTTTTTATAGGTAGGGATTTAGTTTTTGAAGGTCAAGTGTTCCATCCCTTCACCATTTACAAACTTCCATGAAAAAGTATCTTATTATGGCCACTGGGTTCTTTTTATTAAGAAGTCTGGAAGGTTCTGCAATCATCCTCATTTTCTAATTGTTTTTAGAGACCAGGTTTTTTATTTGATAATTTGAAACTTTTAACATTCTGGAGTCATTGTACATTTTGTAATACATGTATACACATAAATACTATAACTGTCCACTTTTGTTGTCATGAAATGAATGTATCATAGACAGTCACTATATCTAAAACATCACAGTACTGTATATATACATTAGATATTGTATATACACAGTACTCTGATGTTTTTGAGTTTCTAAAGTTTCTAGTCTGAAGCAATGTATAATTCTTCACAGTAATGATAGTCCATTTCTTCCTCAATTGTTTTCTTTTTAGAATTATTAAACATTCACGCTGTAATGATTCAGATGAGTAATTCATATGATGAACTTTTTAAGAATGGTTTACTTGTCATGAATTATTGTCCAACTGACATTGTATTTACACCTTTTGCCAAAGTGTTGATGAAATTTATTAAATTTTAATGTTAAAAATGTTGCTAAAATTTCTCTTCCATGAACCAATGTCAAACTTGTCCTGTTTTCAGAACAATGGTCAAAATAAAATACATTTTGTCAAATTATACTGTATATTAAAAATATATAAAATCCTTACTGTACGACCATTTTTTTTCTGTTTTTGTTAGATTGTTTACTGAATATTTGTCAAAAAAATTTTTTGGCAAATTATTATATTTAAAATATGTGAAAGCATAACTGAATGACCATTTTAAAATGTCAAAGGTTTCATTATCAAAATGTGATGGTATGGAAAAAAGATTGTAACATAGAATAAAAAGGCATTGTGTAAGGATTCCTGTCCCACTGCCGGCAAAACACTTTGAGAATAGTTTTTCTGCATAGAGTAACCTCCCTTTAATTTTATTTTGGATAAAACTATAGCTTGACCAAGGTGGAGTTCTACCATTGTCCAATTGCAAGTAGTTCAGTTGGTTAGAGAGACGGTACAATGATCGCAGGTCCAACACTTAAATCCCGGTCTGGCCGCATAGCAGTTACACATTCAGAACTATATTTTTTGACACTAATATTTTTGATCATTTCATCAGTTTAATTATTTGATAAAATTTTGTTTTATGATTTATTTCAATAATCTATTAAAGCAAAATTAAGTCATGCTGGAGTACAAATTCCAGTGTATTGTTACAATATTTTGGCAGTGGTACATGGATCCTGAGATGTTTCCCTTGGGAAAGTTAGACCACATGTAACAGCAAATATTTTTTAATATTTTTTACTTATTTTCAAATTGTTGACCCTGTGTTGATTTCTTCCATTGTTTATAACTTAATGTTGAACTTGTTTTCCAAAGAAAACAGTAACACTAGGGACACTTGTCCTGCTGATGAGGTAGATGTTTAAAGCCTTGTTGTGTCCCAACAAATATTTTGCATTTCTTCTCTTATTATTTAAACTTGCTTGTAACAATTAAGCATTTTCACTGGCTTAACATTTTATTTTATCAGCCTATAACATAAAAAAACAATGATGTCACTGTTTGTAACGTCGCTTTTGATACGCCACTTTTGATTGGCTGATACAGTGGCGTAATAATTTCTAAGAGAAAAGTGTCTATCAATAAAAGTGGATTTCCACAGGGATTGTGTACAGTAGATTAAATTATAAGGATTGACTTGAATATATTTTGTATGTTTTGGAGGTATACCAAAAAAAACCTGGAGTATACTCCCATCATAAACCGTTTTGCGGATTATTTAGAGAACACTCTGTTATTTTGTGTTATATCTCCATAACATGAAAAATATATTCAAGTCAATCCTTAAATAAAAGTAAGAGCTTATGCATTATTATATAAAAGCTAGAGATGCAACTTCACTTAAGTTATTTTTAGTACGCATCCGTCCATTGAATAAGTATTGAATCTTTTTTTCAGACTTTTCTTTTTAAGAATGAATACATTTGGATTTAGTGAATGTCTCTGCATTTTATAAATGCTTTATGAGAAAAAAGCATGAAACGATGCTTTATGAGAAAAAAGCATGAACGTTTCAAAAATGACATTGTTTAATTCTTTATTTATTTATTCTGTCAAAAAGAGTTGGGTCTACATTTTGAATTTAAGGACTGATGCTAAATAATCGAACTGAACCAATGACTGCAGGTATTTAAATGGGTTAACCCTTTCACCACTGTATACCATAATAGACTCATCCAGATTAATGCATGGTAGAGTTCACTCAGGCTACATAGGGATGAAAGGGTTGAAGTATCAGTTCCTTTAGCTTTTTCATGATATTTAATGTTTGCAATTTAGGAGTAAATATTAATTTTACAACATGTTCACATGTTAAAGTTCTATTACACATTGTATTTAGTATTTATGTTAATATTCCACGCAAATTTTGTTGACTGTGATAATAATTGAAAGATTAAATGAAGTGTTGAATATCTTAGTGTGTCTTTGTTTCGTTCATTTTCAAGACATAGCAGTACCTCAGTGATATCACTGTTATATGAAATGGTTTGTGATATACTGGAATCAAATTATGTGTCTCACTGTTGACAATATTTGCCCATATTGCTCCTAATAAACTACTAGACATCAATCAGTATCAAACATAACTGTTTACATACTTTCAAAATATACATGTAGTTTCTTTTAATGGATGGATTCATTTTTTCAAATTTTTTTTCTTTCTATAATTTAATTTTTTTCAAAATTACAAAATATCTTACAATAATAATGTTAACACTCACTTGTTCATTCTTACGACTGGTAATGTTAACACTCACTTGTTCATTCTTACGACTGCATATCTTGCATAGACCGGTTTAACTGTATTTTTATAGAAATTGCTTTTTCGAATGGATGAGTCGCATTACAAAGAGATAGAGTTGGCTATCAAAATGTTGACGAGAGGGGAAAGTCTAGAGTCCAAATATCAGATAAACTAGAACTGTAAGCCAAAGGCTAACAAATACCCTGCTTCAATATAAACCAGAACCATAAGCTAAAGGCTTACCAATGCAAAGCAATATAGTCTCCCACCAGTAATGAGTAATCCCTATTTTATTAAAAACAAAAAACAAAAATCAAATAAACAAGTATTATCACAAAGGGGCATAACTCCATCAAAAAGGGTTGAAATCCCAAATTAAAATGCCAGACACAATAACATAAGATTCCGATTATTCATACAAAGTTAAAATGAAATCAACTAGTTATTTAAGGAGAAGTTGTCGAGTATTTCTCACAAAGGACCATAACTCCATCAAAAAAGGTCGAAATCCTAAATAAAAATGCCGGTTCACAACTACATAAGATTCCGATCAGTCATGCAAAGTTTCAATGAAATGAACTTTTTAGTTAAAGAGAAGTTGTGCAGACAAGTATTTTGCACAAAGGGTTATAACTCAGTCAAAAAGAGTCGAAATCCCAAATTGAAATGCCAGTGCACAACATCATAAATAAGATACCGATCATATATGCAAAGTTTCAATGAAATGAACTTGTTAGTTAAGGAGGAGTTCTCCGGAGAAGTTACTGTGGACGACAGACATCCAGACAGGGTGATTCCAGTATACCCCCCTCCCCCTAAACTTCTTTGATGGGGTATAGAAATCATTTAATGCCACTTCATTTCATACAATTGCTTCGACCGAAGTGGGTGGTGTTTGCTTTGTCCGTGCTAACACGTGCGTGACGGTGAAGATGTCCTACAGTACCATTACCAACTTTTGTTGGCTACTTTCACTTGGCATCATTCTAGACATAAGTTTCAGTTGATAATACATTTTATAAGGTTTAGTTTTGGCAAATGAGGAATGAAATTATTTATGCCTAGTTATTTCTTTAATCCCTACAGTACCGAGCCCGCTGACGATGTCTCCTTGTCTTGTTGTCCAGGGCTGTCTAGGTGTTCCTTACCACACCCGCTAACGATGTCTCCTTGTCTTGTTGTCCAGGGCTGTCTAGGTGTTCCTTACCACACCCGCTGACGATGTCTCCTTGTCTTGTTGTCCAGGGCTGTCTAGGTGTTCCTTACCACACCCGCTGACGATGTCTCCTTGTCTTGTTGTCCAGGGCTGTCTAGGTGTTCCTTACCACCCACGCTGACGATGTCTCCTTGTCTTGTTGTCCAGGGCTGTCCAGGTGTTCCTTACAACTACCGCTGACTATGTCTCATTGTCTTGTTCTCCAAGGCTGTCTATGTGTTCCTTACCACAGCCGCTGAGTATGTCTCCTTGTCTTGTTCTCCAGGGCTGTCTATGTGTTCCTTACCACACCCGCTGACAATGGCTCCTTGTCTTGTTGTCCGGGGCTGTCTAAAGGGCGTGTCATAACTAGCCGATTTGGATTGCCGAGGCTATACCGGATCACAAATTCGGCGGTTTTCGGGGATCGGTACTAGTACAGCAGCACAACAGTGTCACATCACTAAGACCGATAGGACATCGTCAGAACATCGGCGAAAAAATCAGCAACGGCAGGCGACGGTAGAAATTTTTGAACATGCAAAAAAAAAACATTCCGCCGAAGCGATAGCACTTCGATTCTAACACCGGTAGGACAACGCCAGAACAACGGTATCGCAATGTGAACGTCGGTACTACGTCGGTATTGCTATGGTCAATGTTTCAAGTGATTTCTCGCCGGAGCTCTGCCGTTGTTAATTGTTTGCTCAGGTACATCGGTAGTTTGTAACAGGCCCTTTACCACACCCACAAACAATGGCTCCTTGTCTTAAGTTGTCCGGGGCTGTCTACGTGTATCTTACAACACCCGCTGACGATTTCAATCTATGTAATGTGAACTACAACCAATCTATGAAATGTGAACTACAAGCAATCTATGAAACGTGAGCTACACACAATCTATGAAATGTGAACTACAAGCAATCTATGAAACGTGAGCTACACACAATCTATGAAATGTGAACTAAACACAATCCGAAAAATGTGAACTACACAATCAATCAAATGTGAACATCAATCTATGAATCGTGATTGACACAATACACTGTAAATGTTGAGAAAACTACACACAATCCATGAAATGTGAACTTCAAACAATCCATTGAATGTAAACTATAGGCTATAAATGAAATGTGAACTCATAAAATCCATTACATGTGAACTACAGTCAGTCCATGAAATGTGAAGTACACACTATCAATGAAATATGAAGTACACACAGTCCATGAAATGTGAAGTACACACTATCCATGAAATGTGAAGTACACACAATCCATGAAATGTGAAGTACACACTATCCATGAAATGTGAACTACACACTATCTACGAAATGTGAACTACAAACAATCCATCTTATGAAAACACCCTGTATTTGATGATTAAAGCGTTATGAATGAGTGATTTATCAGAGTTGAAAAAACTTAAAAGGTAGCGGTTTAATGTGTTTCAAAAGCATTGCTTTTTTTCGGCCATTGTTTTGGTACATAAACATTCAAAATCAATCGTTTTGCAATGTATCTCCTTTCATGTTACAACGTTATCTATTTATCATCTATATATTACTTTATACCATCTACCGGTAGTATGATAAGTTCCATTATCACGGGTTGACAGTGTGATAATACTCAAGAAGAAGTCGAACACGACTTGAGAACGACTTG